GGCTCCACCCCAGTATCGAGACACTGCACATGTGCACAACCTCTTCTGCTTGCTATTAAAGGGAATAATTTGACCTTGTTGCGATTTTGGAATTTAGAGTTTTATTTACAAACTCTGTACACACACACACCTTTGAACTTTACTCTGCTTCATGAACCAATCTTGTGTTAGAGGCTGTCCAGCTGCTACCTTTTATTACTGCTGATACTGGAGTTCTAGCCAGAGTTACCAGGTTAAGGAACATCAAATGACCTGCATCCTGTTAGCTCTGGGTGGTAACCCTAGAACCCCAACCACAGAGCTGAAAACTAGTAACAGCAATAAATGCCTCCATTTTATCCTCCACTGAATGATCTGTTAGTGGAACAAGCATACAATCTCTTGGGATGCCTTCACAAGCATTACGACTAGGTGGTACCACATAAGCTGTACACCACAAACTAATTACAGAGAAGGTTAATGGACAGTAAGTTCAAGTCAGGGTAAGTGAGAACACTGGCTCTGGTTCAAACATCAAGTTTATTAAGAGAGAGGATTTATCATCACTAGTTCCAGGGGCAGTGAACAATGCTCCCTCTCTTTTGTCCATGCAACAGTTGTGGGTGATCCTGACCCACCACAAATCTGGCCACTAGGCTGGTTAGCTAAGGAATACAAGCTCAAGGTATGTCTACACTTGCACTCGTCTTTAAGTGGCATGTAGTTGAGAAAGTACTTACATTGCTAGCCCCTCTAGCCTGGGTATAAACAGCACTGTAGATAATGAGGCACAGCTTAGGCAAGTAAAGACACACTTGAAGCCTGTGGGTATGTATCAGGGTATATACCCACATGGCCTCTTCATGCCCAAGCCATGCCTCCCTGTCTACATTGCTATTTTAGCAGTGCAGTGTCCCACAGCCTCCCTGTTGCCGGAGCCTTCCCCCACTGCAGGGAAAGACTCTGCCAGCTCCCCATTGCTGGAGCTTTTCCCTGCCTTAGGGAAAGATTCCAGCAGCAAGGAAAGTCTCTGGAGGGAGGAGGCAGCAGGGAAAGGCTCAGCCCGCCAGAGCTTTTTCCTGACATGTGTAGCTACACACTGTGGTGTGGACACAGCTTGTTTTTCAGTGTGGCATGTAGTTCCATGTACCCTACATGCCACTGACACTGGTGTAAAGTGTAGGTGTAGCTTTAGACACCTTCCCGTAAGCTGTATTATGCTTGAAGTACTGATATTCCATCTGTACAACACACCACATGCCAGCTGCTTGACTGGCTGAATTGAGAGAGAGACAGCCATTAGAGAAAGGAATGAAGTCTTTCGAGTCTCACTGTTTAATTCATTGTCATTTATCCATTTACATTTGTGTCTTTTTTGGAGATGGGGGTAATTCTTTCACTGCATTGCTGAATGTGAATACGTATTGGTGAAGCCAGAAGGAGTGAGCTGTTGGACAGCACCAAATAGGTTTGGGTATTAAACTCTTGACCTGTACTCCTTTGGCTAGGAAAACAGAATGGGTGTTTTAGGGCCCGTGTTTTAAGCACATAGTGTTTCTTATGAGAGGACTGCTCTCAGTTCCATTGACTCAACTCCTTCTCTCTCCCAGTGCCTTGTTCCACAGCTCTGCCTCTGAAAGGCAGAATTTAACCCTAAACTTATGACTCAGTGCAAACTAGTGAAAATATATATTTGGGGGAGGAGAAAAGAATTCTAGCCGCTAACCACATATGGCTGAATGAAGAGGAAGAGAGCAGAATGTATATGATGTTTGTGCTTTTGCACCTGCAACTGCCATGGTTTGTAAGTTGAGAGAAGAGCATGGCTCTTGGAAATCAAGCCAAGAAAATAAATACCAGCTCTGCTATGCAGTTCCAATGCAGTCAGAGCCAGATGCATGGAGATTGTTTCTGGGCATCCTGACCATTGTGAGTGCTGAAGGGGTATCACAAGGGAAGATTTCTGAGTCTGGCACACTTTCTAGTGTGCGGCAAACAATTATATTCCTTGGCAGTCACTGTAGTAACATCAATCATGCTGAATTCTTTTAGTATTCTTAGGGATTAAAATACCCTATTTATCCACTGGGATGAAGGACAGATACAGATAGAATGTCAGCTATTGAAAATGCAATTTATCATGAATAATTGTCTATTTATTAGTATTATTAACTCTTTTAATGCATCTCTACTTCTAGGGTGAAGAGAAAATAACCAAGAGCAGTTGAACAATAAGCTGTTAAGAAGTATCTCTCCCCTGTGTTACTTCTTCGAGCAGAGCCATCTCAAGGACTCTAGATCCTGCAGAGAATGAAAATTCACCACTCCTAGCTGTGATACTTAGCATGCCCCCCTGTGGTGCTTTTCTCGTGTCTATGGGATGTATGGCAATCTGTCATTTTTATACAAGTTTGAAATCATCATTAAAGAAACATTGGGTTTCACAAGGCAGTCAAATCGATTCAAGTCTCGGGCAGCCCACCACCTTTTCTTTGCTTCCTCCAGACTCTCCAGCCATCCTCTCCCCACTGGTTTCAGCTTCCCGAAGCTGAAGTTCGCTGCATTGAGAGGGCAACTGATGTATATAACATTGTATCACTTTTTAAGTATACATTACCATCATGTTTGTTTTTTGACTCAATCAGATGTTTTCACTGACATTCTAATTTTTAGAATAATAGACACGGAAAGACTTCTAATACTGAGGCTTGTACATTGTACCACTTCAAGATAAATTGTGTATGCTAGCTTCACAGCAGGAAAGAAGAGAACAAAAGAGATTATGAAAAAACTAAGACACACAGGACTGCATTCCTAAATGGGAATGTTGTGTGATGTATATAACTCTAATCTCTTCTTCCATTTTGACTTGCAGTTTGAGAATAAATAGAATTTCTGAACTGAATACAAATATGAATACCAGTTTGACCAGATCATCTTGATTTGCCTCCACCCCCAAAAGTGACTAGTTATGAAATACTTCTCAATTGGTTAGGGTGCATAACAAAGCAGTAATTTCCACAAACTCCGTGTAAGAAGCTAATCAGATACATCAGCCTTTTTTCACTGAATTAAAGCGAGGAAAACTACTTCATATCCCCTGTTTTGGTTTTTTCTCCTTTCATCGCGTTTTATTTTCAGTGTGGTAAGATTGTGTGTGTGTGTGGGGGGGGGGGGAATCCAAGAGTAAAGCAAGCAGACTACATAAAGAGGAATCACAGTCTAAGGTTTTTCATTCAGGAAATATTTTTCACTATGTATTCACTTTTTAACAGAGAAGGACTCAAACCAAAACTGTAGGTCCAAATAGCTCTGAATTTTGAAGGAAGTGGTTAAAAATTTTAAGATAGATCCAGATTCAATTTTCACATGTAGTCTTTTTTTTTAATGGCTGGGACAAAAGCCATTGTGAAAAATCCTGAACTGGGGGTGTCTGAAAATTACCTTTCAATCTGAAGTTTGTGGCATAGGCCCATCTCTACCTAAAAATAAATACATAAAATCAAGCCATCAACTAAAGACTAAAGGTGACCAACCTTGATGGCCCCATTATCAGACATTGCTTCAGAAATCTCTTTTTCATATCTGTTAAATTTATACTGCTTTTCTGCTATATCATGCCATTCTTATTGTTCATTCTACATATTTCTACAATCAGACAAACTGGCAGTGCTAAATGCTGCTGGAAAAATCCTCTTAGACAAGTAAACACCACTTTTTGCAGGGTATAGTGTTACTGACTTTTACAATTCCATGGCCTCAGACAAACAAAAGTCCATGTTTGATTTTGACAAGTTTCAAAATATGAGCTAACAATTTCCATATTTAGGAAAAAATATTCTTAAAAAAATAATTTTTCAAATGGCTGTCAACATATAGAAAAGCTTCTGAAACCAGAACAGTTTCCTGATGGACCCCGGAAGGGGTCCTTGACTAGGAAAGTCCTCTGGACAAATACAGCCTAATGCCTGGGAGAGACCATGGTGTGGCTGTGGTGGGACTTTTTAGTTGAATGCAGCCTTCCAATTATTGCTAGGATTGTAATCACCAGGCAGGGTCAAATGTGGCATCCATGATTAGCTTGAAATATAAATACTAAAATTAGACATAGCTTTACCTTACTTTATTTCCATTCAGGAATCGGAGAGTGTAGATGCCAATTTGTTAATTCAGCCATTCAAGGGTATCCACAATCCATATATATACACACACACTGTACAGTTCACTTATTGCTCGTTATCCTTGTGGATGGAGTCAGGTTATCTGGAGAGAGACCTCATTAGAAACTGTAGCATGGCCACAAGTTTCTCTCTTGGCCCGCTGTTGCCAGGAATAAAACAAGTTCTCTAGAAGTACTGGACAATCTGCAAGTTCCCACTGAGCTACAGAAACAGTAAAAGCCTCACTTATATCCCATATTTTATTTTTATTGTAAACGGTGTTAGCAGTAAATTTACAAGTGTGTAGTGTTTCACTTTTATATCTACAGAGTAATCAAAGAATATTTATAAGGTGTTCGCAAAGGATCATTTTGTTTCCATGTTTCAGAAAGAACAGAATTAATGAGTCCGTATTTAACATTGGTAACCTGTAAGACCAGCTACAAACATATTGAAACCACCAAGAAACTTGTGCAGGAAACTCCAAGAAACTTACATATGAATATTGTGTTCTGCTTTTAAGATTCTTCAATGTATCACATATATAAACATGAGGTAGGTTTGTTTTGTTAATTTTTTTTTTAAAAAGCAACAAATGTCAACTTTGCTGAAAACCCAAACAAAACCCAACATTTTATATATATCAACAAAGCATTTCAGAACAAAGTAATCTACTGTGTTGCAAATGTGAGCCCAAGCTAAATTTCAGTTTTAAAAACTGGATGGAACTGCAACATTCCCATGTCACACTGCTTGCATAAAATCTTTTATTACAGATATGTACAGTTACAATCTGATTTTGCACAAGGACCAGCAAGCCTATTACTCTGAATACGTTTTCAGTCTTATAGGTTACTTGGCTTGGTGAGAATCTTGTTTCTGTTTTTCATTTACCATATAACAATATATTCTAGGCATACCTAAAAAGAAATATGGATAGGAGAGAACACAGTAGTTAAAATAAAACAGTCTTTGATGGCTGATGGCTCTAACTGAATTAAGCAAATGAAATAATATCTATGTGGCTTTTCTGATTAGGCCTGGGGAGAACAGTTAAACGACAGTCCCTTAATATATATAAGGCAGAATGTCAGATGTAATAAGGGCCCCATAAGACAGGAAATACAGTGGGCTGGATCTTCAGCCAGCATAAATCAGGCTAGTGTTGTGAAACTAGGGTGATTTACATCAGCTGAGGATCTGGATCTGGGTTTGTATTGAAAATAAAATAAAATACAAAGTCACCAGAATGCTACTGCATATGCTAAAATGCAATGTGTTTGCAGAATTTATATGGGAGGTCTTTTTTGCTCTCCTTGTTTACAATTCTTGAGTTTGGTTCTCCATTGCCCTGCCTCCTATGCAAAGGAAGTGAGAAATGCTACCAAGTCAAAATGGTAGCATTTTACAGAGCCGAACCTGCGGACACGGCAGGTAAACAAACTGGCCGGCCCGCCAGGGGCTTTCCCTGCACAAGCGGTGGAACAAGTTTGGGAACCACTGGATTAAAGAAATGATGATGACCTGACATTTATTGCCGGGTACTCCCAGGTATTTTAGGTGAATAAAGTTGCAGCCTAATTAAACCACATCCATTGCCTCCTGTCTTTCTTCTGGTATGGGCAGACAATTGCACTCAACAGGGAAAATGTACATGTCAAATGGCAGGTCTGAGGAAATGCAGTTTTTACACCATGGAGATTTGCTTAGAATCACTGCAGGTTTGCCCAAACAATCTATTTATTTAACTGCATTTTAAAGTATACACAAAGTGACCCATTCTTAAAAAGAGAATCTCGAATGTGGTGCATGTATAAAGGAAAGGGAAAATGCCTAAAATTTCACCACACACATAGGACAGCCTGCCTTGAAAAGCTTACAAAGGAGTCATCATGAAGGTCTAATGAATGTGGGAAACACGTAACGAAATAGGGAAACACCATTTCCCATGTGCACCTCTAAAAAGACCCTAGAAAAATCAATTCCACCATTTCTATTAGTCCATCAATTCTTTATGTTCCTGCTGCTGCAGTGTGAATGTGTGACAAGGAGGAAAAGGCAAGGTGGCAACTGCCTCAGAAACCTACCGCTACCTCCTTCCAAAACAGGCTTACAGATTATGGAAGCAAGTCCTCCTGAGGATTTGTGGAGTGGGGAGCAGACAGCCAGCATGCCCCAAAGTGAACAGGAAGCCCTTGGAAACAGCGTCATGAAGGAAGGAATGACTGCATGGAGAGGATAGGCAGCTGTGTAGTAACATCTCCCATTACTTCAGTCACTTCTCTTCATACCTACTATGAGTTTAGCTCCCCAAAAGTCGACTACTCCACATGTCCTAAATTACTGTTGCCCTAAGCAGCAGTACTGAAAAAGGGGTGTGGGCCAACTGCAACCTGCCAGGTGCGCTGCAGCTCGCACTGCTGCTGCTGTCTGTAGGAATGGACAGGCTGTTATTCCCACAGACTCTGCCTTCTGTGAGAGTTGACGGGCCTGCTTCCTGGCTGTTCTGCTCTCCAGCTGGCAGCTTTTCCCAAAGGGAACTATGCAGCAGAGAGCAGCCCAACAAAAGCCCACTGAACTGGTTGGGGTGGGTGGTTCTTTCCATATGGTTTTTATAGAGGAAGGTGGGTGCTTGGCACCAGCAACTAATTTCAAATGTGTGCCATGCCTCACTGTATATCTCAATGCAGTTGCAGATTTCTCATGATTCACAGTGATGAGTCACGTGGCTGAAAGGTGCAACTGATTCTATGCGTAAATTAGCACCAAAAAATTCATCACCACATTCTGTGTGACAGACTTTCTGTTCTGCTCAGCCACAGCACTGGACGATTAAGGGGCCTGCACATAGTTTCCCCTTGCAATGCTTCAGTAAAACGTACATGTAATACTGCCTAACTATGAGGAGACCTGTATTCAAATTAAAGACAAGAAAATACCACTGTTTGTTAGCTGTGTTACTGGTCTCAAAAAAACAGTATTAGGACTCAACTTTAGTGCTGACATTTTTAGTCTCAACAGAATGTGTGGGAGGAAAGGGGGTTGTTGGCTATATTATTTATTTTTATGGCCTCATTTACAGAGAGTGCACTGAAGTTAATTTGTTGCACCTGTTTTAATGGAGAGGTTTTTAAACCTTGCCCTTTCCTCCTCAGAAAGAAAAGAAGCACAACTGCTGGTAAGTGTATAATGATGAATAAATGCTAACCTATAGCTGTCTCTCCCTAGTATCTGCAAAAATAAATAGCCTGTAATATCAGAAGCATAGCTAGCAAAAGTGATGCATTTCTGACACAAGGTCTCCCCTACCCTATATTTTACTATATTAAAAATGATGATGTATTTTAGCCAAGAACATGTCTTACCTAAAAAATGGATTCTTTAAATCAAGGATGTTACCAGATTTAAAGCCTGTCTGGTCCACCACAGCCACAATCTGAATGTCATAACTCTGTCTGTATCAAAAAATAAAAGTACAAAAAAGACAACATAACTGATCTACAATTATATCGGTAACATATGAAGTCAAATAATGGCATTGTCAGAATACCTGGGGTTTGAGTTGCAAGCATTTGGTATATGCAAAATGCAAGGGGATCAATACCTCCGATTTCATACATGCTTGACTAAATGAATTCCTTATTCATAGCCAATGGGTAAAATTTACAAAAGCGCATGGAAGACTTAGGACCCAACATCTAAAACAGGCTGCATAATATGCATTCATTGCAACTGAGGCTGACATTCAACAATGAGTTTTGTTGGCCAAAAATGCAGTAAAGATCATTATTTGATCATTACAATATGCAAGCAGTGTATTTCTTGGTGAGTGTATCACACTTTGAGTGATAGTACAAAATAAATGGACAAATAACTTTAGCCACCCAAGTGCAATCATCACCCAGAAATGCATTTTCTGTAGGGACTTGTTACTAGGAAATGGAATTTACACATAAAAATAAGATAAACAGTAAAGATAAGTGCCTCATTTCATAGATCACACTGTTGGTGGCCAGTCCAAAAGCTCAATGTGTGTCCATATTTCTGAATAAAAATCTTACTATTTGTCTCGAGGCAACACCAGTCTGGCTTGTCATTAAGACCCAGGAAATGCTCCAGGCATTCTGCATTTATTATTGTTATTACTACAGGTTTGTTTGCATGTCACAGAACCATCAAGAACCTCACAGAGTCTGTACTTTCCACAAATTTCAAACCAGTTTTGGGGTTCACAGCCCTAATTCAAGTTGGTGAACCACTTTTCAACTTAATTTAAACCCTCTTTCTCCCGGTTTGAGTCACTATTTAATTTTTTTTTTCCGTAGCAGGAGGCTGAGGACAAGACCCAAAGTTGAAGGAATTATTTTTAGATGTTGGCATTTTTTTTTTCAGTTTCTACTGCCTTTGGAGATATGCATCTATTTTTGCATCTACATGAAAAAGAATGATTGCCACAGAGGGCTGCTGCCCTGAGCAGGAGACAGAGGACTCTGTGGGAGACTTGGAGGAACCAGCAGCCATGCTGATTGGCCTGGTAGAGGCAGTCCCAGTTGGTCATTTGTGAGGACAGTGTTGTTGTAGCTGTGTTAGTGCCAAGAAATTAGAGAGACAAGGTGGGTGAGGTAACATCTTTTACTGGACCAACCTCTGTTGGAAAGAGTGACAAGTTTTTGAGCTTGCACAGAGCTCAGTGTAAGCTTGAAAGTTTCCCTCTCTTACCAATAGAAGTTGGCCCAATAAAAGATATTACCTCACCCACCTTGTTTCTCTATTAGTGAGGACATCAGATACATGGCTTAATTCAGTCCTGGGCTTCACTGGTATAACCCAAGACAGAGGAAATCTTCCCCTCGGTGGTTGTGGTGGCATAAATTACCCACAACCCCATCTTTGCTAGTGGGCAAATTGCCAACTAGTGCACCCCATAAGTGAGTGAAACCAGACAAGGGGGGAGTATGGTCAGGGCAGATAGGGGATACGTTAGTTCATCTCTTGCTGCTATCAACTGTGCTTTTCGGGAACCATGACTTTGCTTTAAAGCGACTCTCCCCTGGTGGAACCCCCAAGGGAAGACAGCAGTACAAACACAGTTTCTCTTCTTTCAGAGGCAAGTTTCTTCCTTGAAAGAAGTTTCTTCCTTGGGTACAGCAGCCCTTGCTGGTACAGCGAGTGCAATTTGTACTCCTTTAAAGAATTAGGGTAAATTGAGCCCTCAGAATGTTGCCCAGCTGAACAGAAAGACTGGAGAGAAATAGTGCCATGTGAATAGTCCAGACCGACTGTGTGCAGTGATAGACCAGAGATAAAATGGTGGCAACGATGGCAGGGGGTATCTGCCCCATGACTGAGGGGGGTATTCAGACTGGAAATCAGGAGAAAATTTTTAAATCAGATAAAATAAGGTGGACACTGAGCCAACGAGGATTAAGCACCTAGCAGATGGTTGATCTAAAAGCAACCTTTTAAGGACATATGAGAAAAGTACTGAAATGGTACCCAGGGCCATTCCTTGTAGATAGTTATCAAAGCCATGTTAAGTAGACTACAAGTTAACATGTAGGTCTGTATTGTTAGAGGATTAAGAATAGATACTAATTGTATTTGTCTGTGTTTACCTATATCTTGTTAGAAGTTAACAATGTAACCAGATTAGTTTGTGGATGCTAATTCCCTTTCATGTCTTAATTACACTATATTATGCATGCAGATGGTTCAGTTAACCTTAAGATCAAGATGTAAGATATTGAAGGAAATAATATTACTTACATTGTCTTCAGCTTAAATTGTCTATGCAATAATAAAATGCCTTGATAGTTTGAATAGCTAATTGCCTTATGTTAATTAACACTACTAGTGTACCTGTGTATACATAGGAAATAGAAGTTTAGCTTTAAAGCAACAACATACACTGCCTCTCTTCATCTGGTAAGGCACTTGCTGTGATGTCTGCTGTCAAGAGGCTATCAGCCTGCTAGAGAACTATAATGGAAGCTTAGGGTCTGATCCTGTTTTAACTCAGATCTGCTTAAATTTTGTCAGGGGAAGTTCAAGCTGGAAGACTGAGGTCTTCATGTCTACTCTAGATTAGCCCTGCAATTTCTTATGGAAGAAGCTGAACAAACTCTACACACAGACTGCCTATTGGACTGATTCTGGAAGGACTTTTACAAATCCGCAGGTTCACCATCTGTGTATGAAACAGACCTAAGAACTTTATTCATATCTATATATACACATAATGATCTTTCAACCATAGTAACTCTCTTTCTTTTCTTGTTTAATAAATCGTAGATTTAGCTAATAAGAATTGGTATAAACGTGTATTTGGGTAAGATCTGAAATATTCATTGACCTGGTGGATAATGTGTCCGATCTCTTGGGGTTGGTAGAACTTTATATATGGCGAATAAGGTTTTAAATAAATCTCAATATATAGACTTGGCTGTCTGGGTGGGAGCCAAAGGCAGGATTGCTTAAAGGTACTGGCTTGGTGAATCTAATTATAAGAATAAACCAGCAGTTTATTTGGGGATCATCTTCCCTATTCTTTGCAGTTTGTCCTGATTGAGCATTCTCAGTATAGCCCCTCCGGTGACCAGAGTCACAAAGGCATACATTTTTAATGGTGAAAGCTATTCACCATTGGAACAATTTACCAAGGGTTGTGGTGGATTCTCCATCATGACAATTTTTAAACCAAGATTGGATGTTTTTCTAAAATATTTGCTCTAGGAATTATTTTAGGGGAGTTCTATGGCCTGTGTTATACAGGAGGTCAGACTAGATGGTCACAATGGTCCCTTCTAGCCTTGGACTCTATGAACTCTATGCAGTCCTTGATTGCTTCTGGCTTCCCAGAGAGCAGAGGTGGAAAAAGTGCCTTAATACGTTTTTGGTTGGCAAGAAGGTTTGACCTTTCCTTTTGCCTGCAAACTTTCCAATTATGTATGCTTTGGTAACCTCCACAATGGATAATTACAATGCATTGTACATGACAGTATCTTTCACAACCATTCTGAAACTTCGTCTAGTGCAGAATGTGGTTGCCTGCTCTCCCCCACATGGAACAGATTACATTGACGCTCCATGGACTGCCCTGGCTTCCACTTCATTACCTGATGCTATTCAATATGTTGCTTTTAACGTATAAAGTCCTGTATCATTTGGGTCATGTAAATCTTCAAGACCACCTCTCTGTGAAGCTGAAATCAGTACCCTTTAGCAACCAGTCTCTATTTTTGTATGTGTTGGTGCTATACACAGGGCACCCTCATTAGTCTAGCAGGGACAGTTTATTGACTCTAGGGCACATTGAAGTCCATCATTATCAATTTACTCATGCTCTTCCTGAGGGGGTAATTTGAGAGGAGTGATCTAAATTTCTATGGAGTTGGGAAGTTCTTTATTATTGTCAGTTGATAATGGTTCAATTGGTATATGCGTATGATTTTATATTTATTTTCTGCAGGATGGATTGATTTAAATCATCAATTTTAATCTTGGTTTGCATTTATAGTTTTTAGTTATTTTACCAAAGAAAGGTTCATTCTCACTGGTTGGTAATCATTAAAGTATGTTGATTTGCAACCAAATTTAGCCTTTAAACTAAATTTGGTACTTCTTTTTGCTAACCACGAAGATATAGTGTATCTATACACATTTATTTAAACACATACACATATATATATTATATATATACACACATTCACATTATTAATTTTTACAGTTTTTATGGTTAGGAAACAGTGAATGAGGCATTTCTTATTTACTAGATGATTTTTGTACTAAATTCCAATTTTCATCCAAATGCATCTATTAAATCCTATTAAAAATGTACAAAACCAGCATTTTAAAATTATTTTTCAGTAATTAAATAAACCAGCCTTAAATGTGCTGGATACATAAGAACAAAACTAAGTTTATCAAAACTTATTTGCATTTCAAACTGATTTATTAAACGAAGGAAGAATTAACTGTAGTTAGTGAGTTGACAGATTGTTTCTGGTCACCATGTGCCATATTTACAAAGGCATTTAGGCACATACATATGTTAAATAGGTGCTAGTGGTATTTTCCTAACTGCCTAACCTGCTTACTGCTTTTGAAAATTCAGCTAGTCACTTATCTACATCTTTAGGCACCTAAATATCTTTGAAAATCTAGTTTCGTGGCCTTCAAATTTTTAGAATTAATAAATCTCATCTTCTCCCACCAGGCTTTTATTCACAGACTGGAAGAAGAAAATAAGCTTTCCTGCTTTTTCAGCTCCCAGTCAATTTCTCAACTTTGAATGAACTAGTCCAAATGAAGAAAAAGATATTCTCTCTGCACCTGCAAGTTACCATGAAACCAAAAGTAATTGAGGTAAAAAACTCTTTGGCCTAACAGAAACTGGAAGTACTTAAATTTGGAAAAATGTAAAATATCATCATTTGCTCTATTGTAAAGACTGAAACAATACAGAAACTTAATGCAGTATATGATACTGTGACCTATATAAAGTTTGAGTGGACCTCTAAATTTAAAATGTTTTCTTCCTGATTCTGTATATAATTGAAAAAGAAGCACCCTTGAACTCATTACATTTTGAGGGAAGCTCATTGATGCACCAGACTTTTAAAAATTATTTGAATGACTTTATTAGATTATAGTGAATTTTGGACTTAACATAGGTTGTCAATTGAAAACAGGTTTATTTTCAAAAAGAAATATCTGTTTAATGTAAATAAAAGCATGTGATTTTTTTCTTTTTTTAAATCATGGATTTTTATCCACCCTGATTTGCACACACTAAATAGCCAATCACAAGCACATGTATAAACAGAGTGGGTGTGGATAGACTTTCAGACACCATAGTGACAGGTCTGTATAAAAAACTAAATAGATAAAAAGAATCAGTTTTAAGGATTTGCTAAGTGTCAAGTTTGCTTCTACCTATACTTTCATCTAATCTTTGCCATCAATATAAAACCCAGTCCTTAAATCCTTAATCCAGCAAACCTACCAATGAAGTTGGGCCAAAAATCCATCAAAGAAAGCCAAGATACACTGGAACTTCCAGAAAGCTTACTACAGTTCATTTGCCAAGGCAGAATTGGAAGGAAGAATATAGTACTACGTAATTATAGTAGCGGCTGTGTGGTCACTTTGTGCAGCACACTGGTTCTCTCTCTACACATTTAGTAACTGATACTTTTTACTTTTGAAAGGGACGTATTGTGACTTGTGTGATTTATCTCCTTTAAGGAGAGCTCCTAATCCAAAAGCTTGCAAACTGGAAAAAGTCCCACGTTGGGCATTTATTGCAGGTGTGAATGAAGTGCTTTGTGAGTGCTTCTAACAGTTTTGATCTTATGAGAACTCTCTGAACTCATAAGGCACATATCCAGAGCTAAACAACAACAACAAAATGATTCACATTTCTATATTTGCTTTCAATTACAAGCACACATGCAGGTGTGCTAGATTGAAATGAATCAGCTGTGCAAACCAGTCTCTTCAGGGAATGTTTTCACAGCAGAGCATAAGGGTGATACTTCTCAACTCCCATTGACAGCAAAAGAGTAGGAATGCAGCTAACTAACTTTGTACTGACAAAAATGTACTCCTTAGAGAACCATCCTCTTCACTAGCCACACTAAAAGGGGAAAGTTGTGTCTCAGTGATACAGGAGTAGTGTCGTAAACAGGGAAAAGTGTGTCCATAGGAAATCCTTTTCAGAAGTGAAAATTAGCAAGGATATAGCACCACCTCCACTTTACTTGTCCCTAACACAAGATTCACTAAGGGGAAAAAATACAAACATTCAAAATCTGCAGAGGAAAAATGTTGCACTGAAAAAATGAGGGTGATGAATGCACAATGAGATATCTCAAAAACCATTGACGAACTGGGACAGCTGTGCACTTCAAACCAAAGAAAATGCTGCTTCTGACAATGTTTTTCCTTCCATGAAAATCAATTTTGCTGTGTAAATTTGGGATTGTGTGGACAGGCAGATGCTTATAGGCATTGAAAGCTGATCTGATCTTTAAATTGGTTGATAAATCAAGTCATTTGGCAGATGTACATTGAGCTAGTAAAAAGAAAAGGAGTACTTGTGGCACCTTAGAGACTAACCAATTTATTTGAGCATGAGCTTTCGTGAGCTACAGCTCACTTACACGGCTGTTACTCTGGAAATTGAGCTAGTAGTTTTTCCAACCTCCCCATGATACATGGAAATACTCCTTCCACATTTTGGCAAGACATGTTTCCTCTGGGCACCACAATGAAGGGTGAATTTATACCCTACAGTCTTGGATGCAGAGATACGAAGCACTAAAACAGACCCTGTGCAGCTTGACTTTTCCATTTCCCCAGCTTGCTAAACTGTATATCTGCATCCCTGATTTTACCTCGTCCAGTCTCTATGCTACTAACTTCCCCAATGGGTGCAGCACTTTGGAGAACCTCAGCAACAGAGGCACACCACAATGAGAAGTCTCCTGGAGTTGCTTTGCCACTTACCGTTTATTCGCTACAAACAGGACTTTCCCTGAGAGAGTTTCCCCTTCTTTCGCAAAGAGGGGAGTCTGAAGGAGGCAGCGTACTTGATACCAGTGAGTTAAAGGTTCCGTCGGAGCAGTTGACAACCAAACAGTTACCCTAAAAAGGAAAAAAAAAAAAGATACATAGGCTCCTTCTCATTTGCTCTGTTAGAAAGCAACACAATTTTGGAAGGGAATTTATGAATGATGGGTCCCATAACTGTCTGTTATATACTTTAAGCTACTTATGAACCAGTTGTGCAAAATGCTAAATTCCTGATTTACAAGTGTCACTGATTTACCTCCATACCTCTTACCTTCTCACATCTAGTATGACAGACCCATATAATTAAGGTTCAATTCTGCACCTGAAGGATGTGAAATGGGCAGCCATGCATCAGGGCATACATACTCAGCAGGTTTGCAGGCAGCAACTGAATTAAAAAGTACTTGATAGCTGCCCTAAGGCCTCCAACTTCTCCTCCAGAAGTAACATCACAGCTGGGCTTCACGTAGTCCTGCTGGGAAGAAGACTATTGCCTTCTACTGTCAGATAAGTGCTATTTTTCTAATCTGAGGGACTTTCTTCCCATTTCCCTTCTCACTGAAACAGCATTTTGTAAAACAGCTCCCTGGAAAGCCATGCAACGAATATTGAAAGAAAAAAAGGGAGAGGGCCATTTCGTTTTTCTATCAGGGAAAATTGGAAAGATTAATATTGATTATAGTTTGTCTCAGTGGGAACAGCAGGAAGGACAGGAAAGATAGAATGAAAAAGGAATTCATTTATTCCTCCAGTCCTCTTTCTTTCATTCATAAACTATTATTAGTCAGTGGACACTATTCCTTGTGTTAAAAAGCCAGAGGAAATGTGTGTTAAACTTGCACAGTGACTAGTCCTGAAGGGATCCTATTTGATTTTTGTTGTCGTTTTTAAAACTTTAAAATATCCATCTGCCTTCAAAGAACAATCAAAAATCTGGGGATTTGGTCCATGATGAAGGCAAGGCTTCAAATGTAACAACTCATGTGTCTATTCTAACCTGTACTGTGTTTGTAATCCTGGTATCTGCGCACCTAGCCAATGTCGATTCAAAACAGATGCTCCCTACAGGACCAGTATTCTCTACTCTCTCTATTTCCAGGAAGTAAGATGTCCATTTCTCCCCCATCTTCCCTCTGTTTTTTTTTTTTTAATCTAATTAAGGGAAATGATGGCAAAGAGATGGGATTGTCCTGAAAGTAGTAAAGTTTGTGGTCTTTCCTTTTTACTGTGGCAAGGAGTTCCCCTGCAGAGGACCACCCACTGAGAATGTCCTGTTTCCAGCTTTCATGCCTCTGGCCAATGAGATTTCCATAAGTCTCGAAGGAGCCTGTGGTTGTAAAGATAGGGGCAGCCTGTGAGATATCCCCCGTCCAGCCCATTGAGAGCTCTGAATACTAAGAACAGGAATTTAAACATTATTCGATATTTAAACAGTTATCTGATGCAGTGATCAAAGTCCCACTCTTGTCAGCCTATGTTGGTCAGCAGACAGGCTGCTGCATTCTACACCAAAATGGACGCTTCTTTGGTTGATATGTTTCAATTAGCTCCCACATAGCTGGAAACTTTCTCTGCTGCTTTGTGCCACGTGGGGCTAAAGACAGGCTCTATTCCGAATCCGCTTGCCAGTAAAATTCAAGTTATACAGTAAACTACTACTTTAAAAAAAAAAAAAAAGAGAGAAAAAGAAAAAAGAGAATGTAATGTTATTAGAAAAACCCTTACTCGGTGAGCCTTATATCAGGGGCCGATGAAGGGTATTTATCAATAAAGACAAAAAGAAAATCAAATAATTAAAGACTTAGCTTCCCAGGGTCTGGTAATAATTCTTTGTTTCCTGAAGATGTGTCCAATTCTTATCAAGTTATTTAATGTAAAAGAAAAATCTCTCCTCCCTCACCCCCTCATAGGACATGCTTTTCTGTTAGACTGAGGGTGACATTCTCTCTGATGTGGAGAAGTTTACTCTTCTTTTCCCCGGTGCAGCTCCACCACTTACTTTCCAGAATAGTAAGTAGCAGCACCAAGCACAGCAGGTTCCAGCTGCTCTCTTGAGATGCCTCTGGCCCCCAAGCAAGCCCAAGCCCAAAGTGAACAATCACAGCACATGTTCCTGTTCTTCCCCATAACACTGAACAGTTACACTCAAATAGGGCAGTAATCAAGGAGTTGGTTTTTGTGCAGAAAGATATGGGGATGACACCTAAGAGAAAAAATACTGAAACATCCCAAACTATCACAATTCCTGAACATACCCCACATAAGGTAACAGCAAACAACCCCAACCCACAAACTGCTGGAGGGAAGAATGTCAATGCTGTGTTGTAATTCTCATGGTTGCTACCTCAAGAAGGCATTACCTACTGGGAATAATATGACAAGTTCAACATTAAAGTAAGATCACACCTTCCTGCATGAATAAGGAGGTAATTTTTTCTGTGTTTAATGTTTCATGGGAATGATTAAAAAAAATATACATACAGTGATCCCACAAATGCCACGTCAAACCAAAAAGCCAGGCCGTGGATTAGTCCGGACTGCATCATCTGGAAAACGAAGGGGATTTCCACTCTGCAGGAGGAAAACTAGAATGTTGCCAGGTTAACATACAAACGTAGTTCAGACAAAATTCCAACAGAAACATTCTACTGAAATGTGTCTGGTGGTGTTTTCCACACCTTTACCACAACAATTTGTGCTTGAATTGTCACATCCCAGATAAAATCAGTTTAAAAAAATTACACTGGATAATTTTTTTACGTCATTTAGAAACATTTGGCTTGATTTTCAGAAATGCTGAACAACTGCAATTCCTAATGAAAAATCCAAGTGCTCAGCACCTCTAAAGTTAAGCCATTAGCTGTTCTGTATGCACTCTGCAGCTTAAACCTGGGCTACTGCATTTTGGGTCAATAATCTAGACTACTGTGAGTACAGGGGGTGGGTGGGAGAGTCTTTTGTTTTTTAATATAAGGGATGCTCAAATACGGTTTTACAAACATAAGTCTGTTAAATTTTTAACAGTAGCTGCAGAAATTCACTTCTCAGAAGCAATAAATCCAGAATAATGACAGCGAGCTATTTGTAGGATTATATAACACCTGCAATGGTCCGTGGTACTTTTAAAAGAAAAACAAGTGATGTGTGTGTGCGCATGTATGTACACATGTGAGAGATTCTCTGTACCTTCTCTCTTTTTCCCCACAATTAACACAGTTAGAGTTTTAAATAATGTTTCAAATTCAACCACTGCCATATTTCTCAAAACTTTCATTAAAAATCTAGATGGGAAAGCTCTTCACCTACTATTAAAGGCAACAATCTTAAAAAGATTTAAGCATGTGCTTGACTTTAAGCATATAAGTGGATTCCTTGGGGATCTTTACCATTCCACCAAGACAGCCACTGAAAGTGGAACAGAAGAGACATGCATTCCCATCCCTTCTAAAATCTCTTGCAGCAGAGTCAGCATTGACCAGAAATCCAATTTTTTGTAAGGAATATGAACTCAACCTTCTTAATAAAGCTGATCAAAAAATTAAATTTCTATCCTGCTGAAAATTCTGATATTTCAACATCTTTTTCCCATCTCAAATCAGGACAAAAAGTCAAAATATCAAAACTTGTTCTGAAAAAATATTGTAAAATGTTTTGGAAAATAAATTAAAAAATGTTGAAATGCTTCATTTCAGCTTTTCAATTAAAACTAAACATTTCATCACTCCCCCGCTGAAGCGTGACATTTTGAGTTGAGTCAATATTAACCTGTGCATCTGCCCGAGCCATGGGACTTCCAGGATGCGATGGCAACTCAGTGCACAGACAGACTGTAGTGCCTCATGGGACGTATAGTCTGGCTGGAGAGCAGGTTCCACAGAAAAGAATGGGGCCATGAGAGACCTGGAACTACAACTCCCAAGGGGCCCTCAGTAGTGCAGGCAGATGCAGAGATTAAGGTTGACCTGAAACATAATGTTTAAATTTTACTGACAGAAAACTCCACTAAAAATCTATCTTTTCCTGCAGAAAAACTTCTATTTAGATTGGGGTCATATTTCCTGCAAGAAAATATTTTGTTAGAATTTTTTTTCAAACAGCTTTACTCCTGAGCCACAGGCAAGAATGCTGCTAATTAAGCCAACAGGCAGAAGAATATTACTTCACTTCACCTCCAGGATTATCACTAAGTAAGGCAGTACTTCTGGGAATAACATATCATTGGCTAAATAGCTGCACTCAAATCTCTGCCATTCCTAGGAATATGAACCATAAAACTAACACTTGGAAGGAATGGTAATAATCAAAATAGTGATGTTCACCAGTTTAGAGGAAGCTGTGGATAGCATACTTAAATATTTCTTGTGAAACTCACTGAAGCAAGCCAGCATACTAACCAGGTGAAATGGGGAAGCAATTCTCTCTCACTAGACCATGCTATTGTGCCATAAAATACAATTGACTGCAACTCCTAGTAGAACTATAGGAGGTCTGAATTTCACTCAAAAGAGCCTGGCAGATGTGTGTTGGGAGTCTGTGTGTGTCTGTAGTTCCTGTGGTGTTCCCTGGAAGAGACCCTAAAGTTCTCCCATTCCGGTAGGGTACACCTCATTCCAGTCATGTGCCTAGGAGCTGTCAAGCTGCACAGTGGCCTAAAGTTTTAGGGGGAAATCCTCAACGAAAAGTTTAGAGGCAGGCGGCAGCCAAGGAGGCACCATTAGGAAGTTAAGAAGGTGCAGCTGAGCCTTTTTAGTCTGAATAATTTAAAGAAGAGAGTTAAGAGTTACTCCAAGAAAGGAGAGGGATATGCAGGACAGGGGGTTTGTGATGATGCTACCAAGTCAAATGGGGATTGGAATCTTTCACGGTATGTAGAATGCACAGTGGGGCTTGGTCTATCACCAGGATGAAAAGGGCTCCTGCAAATAGTCTACAGAGAAACAACTGCTCCCTGGTATACAGATGATGTCTTTCTATATTGAACTTGCTTGACCCAATCTCTCTCTCTCTTTGCGGGAATGAAAACATATACAAAGACTACTCCACCAATGCCTTTTACAATTAATTAATCTAAAGCCAAACAGCAACTACCTTCCCTGATCCCTCATTCACCCACCATTTTATCCAAGTGGCATTATTCTTCTTGGTGCTAGAGGTACTGCACAAAACAATGGAGCTGTTATGAATGTTGTTTCTACACCATCAAGCTTTCGTAACTTAAACATTGCTGTACAAAAGCTATTTTTCAAAGACCTTATTAAAAGAGAGAAAATACATTCTTGAGTCAGGATAATCATAAAAACTAGTACAAAATTGCAGTGATTTTCTAAGGCTTGTCAAACAAAAGGCTCTGCATTGTTAAGATGCTGAATGAGCTGGCAACATATTCAGTCTCATAATTTCTACTGAATATTGAAAACAAAAACTAAAAGAACTTCAGGAATAGGAGAACTCAAACGGAACCTCTTAACCATACATATTTTTAATACAAATCTCAAGCAGGCTGCATATCACAGTGACTGTCTGTATCAACAAAATCACCACATAATTCGGCACAAGCGGTGGCAATCTGTGCACAGCACATTTCCCCACTGAGATTCAGTGTTAGCTTCAAAGTTCTCCTGATGCCCAAGGAAACCTTTCCAAGTCTTGTTTTCACCTCCCTCCCTGGCAGGTTGTGAGGATTAATGAATGTCTGTAAAGACCTCTGAAGATGAGAAGCCCTAGCTAATAGGGATGTGTGTTGTGAATAATAATCTCTCCAATGGCCTGAATCTTGGCATATCTGGGGGGACCTCAATGTTCCTAAATATCAGTAAATGTCATCCTTAACCCTGCAGAATGGTCCCTCTTCTTGAAGAAAATAAACACACAAGCTATTATTTTCCCTCCCCTTTAGAGGGATTTTTCTTTTCTTAGATTTGTTCCCAATAAACTACCTTTAATGAAAATCCTGCTGCCTCAATACCAGTTACTGAACAAATTTACTACTCTTGATGTTGCATCTGTGCCGCTGTTGTAGGGGGTAAGAGGGCACTGCAGGTGATAATGCTGATATTTTGCTAGAGCCATGCAAGTAATGTTCCATGGACCACAGCTCCAGCCAGAGCCAACAGCGTCTTCTAAAAACACAAATAATTAAAAAACTGAGTAAGAATAGGACACTGATCTATACTAACCTATGCAAATCTTCCTCTTCAGCTTCTGTAAAGTTAACAGTGTACTTCACTGTCCGAGCCATCAAAATTCTGATGTCAAAAGTGTCCTGAGGGGGAAAAAAAAAGTCACAAATGTTATCATTTTGTCTTGCCACCTTCTAAACTAGGTATCTGACAAAAAAGAAGATATCTTTATTTTAATGACAATGCTCTTTAACAGCTCTAAAAAACATTCTACTAGAGTTTACATTAGTATTATTTGCAATTAATGCATTTGATAGCTCACTTATGTTACAAAACTTTTTTAAAGACCCTGCTAAATCATACAGAAACACTTTTCATTTTGTTTTCACCAACACACACACAAATAATTCATGTGGCCTCCTCTACCACACGTACAATGTTTGACCAATTATAGAATTTTGGAGATATGCTGAAGAGTTAACTACAATTACATGAGAATCAAAATTAATTATGCAGAATAGTAACCAGGCTAGGAGCAGTCAGTACACCCGTAATTGAAAACATCTTTTTCCCACCTCTTTTTGTACATCCACTAATCCAGACCCTCCACGGACTCAAACTCCCAGTTGGTGCTAAAATCTTAGCACAAACTCTGCTTGTGATATACACTGAATTTAAAAACTGAGTCCCAATGGGGAGTGAAGTGTATGTATGGGGAAAAGGCACATCCCAAGGTGTTTTTTTTTTCTTTTTAACAATTGTGTGTGATTTATAATAATACACTCTATTATTGATCTTAATGGAAGGGCATAAATTAAGAAAACAAAGGCTTATAAACCAAGCACACATCTTTGCATATACATATATATCTTACATAGGACATGCTTTACCTCCACAGATCAGCTTCATTCTCTAGTGGACTGCCAGAAAGCGTGACATAACCAACATGGTGTGCATGTTGGAGTGTTAGGTTGAATAGCTACAGAGAGCTCACAAAGGGCTGGTGGCAAAGTCTTGAAAAGCTCAAAATTTAAATGGAAAATAAATTTTGTTACTTTTTGCCATTTTCCAACCAAATGGAGTCAGGCCTGATGTCAAAGAGAGAGAACAGAATTGAAGAGGTTCATTCTGAGGCAGCCAGTAAATAGGAACATATGTAAAAAAAGAATGGTTGTCTTTATATAGAAACCTGGCTACTGGCTTGATTTTTTTATTTTGTTTTAATTTGTGTGGTAGAGGAGGGAAGGGAGAAACAAAGGTATAATGCAAATTCCAGCTGAAAGCTGCAATGCCTCTTTTAGGGATTGTGACCCCGCGAGGGTTGGGTGGAGAGAGAGCCATTTACATGCAGTGGACAAGGAAGGGACTGTTCGGAACTGTGAAACCATGGAATTGACAGGTTTAATGCTTTTGGAAAGGCACCAATATCCCTAAAACCCAGGAAAACAAACTAGAAATGGCAAGACCTGAGTGGTTTAATGATAAGCAGCAAAGAAACTAATGACTAGAAAGTTGTAAAAACTAAAGAGCTTTGGGAATCTAGTTTTCTTTTAATTCTGTAACAAAACCCACACAGGTTTGTTTAAAAAATCATCAGCAGCTTGTAAAGGTAGGGCAGTGGTGGCGATGGTTTGAGAGCAATCAAACTAAAAGGTAGAGGGACAAGCTAGGTTTCCTCTTTTAGCAGGGTACACAAGGGGCAAACAGCTAATGTTGAGCTTATGCCTGCAGCTGAGGAAGCTCTGGGTCTATAGACTAGGTAACTTGAATTTATTGTACTGATATTCAAGTTACGGTTTTCAAACATAATATCCCAAACTGGGTACAAAGTCCTGACAACATAACAGACTGACGTGGGCATAAGTGGTGATCCCTGGAGAAACAGAGCAGCAGTTTAGGTTAAAGAGAGCTCAAAAGTATTAATTTTCAAAGCCAAAACCAAGTGCATTCAGTCCTATGACCTGCCTGAGATTTTGCAGAGTGTCAACTGGAGTTCCTTGGATTGCAAGTTTGCTTTGAAAAGTTGTCTTCTCAGGAGCTCAGCCAATGCCAGGACCTTATTTACTATTAGAGCGCAGGTGAAGGGGACAGAAATACGGATAAGGGAGCTGTGCTGCCAAGGATGTAGGGGTGTGGGGGGGGAATAGGGGCAGGTAAGCCACAAAGATAGCTGGGCTTTTCTGGAGGATGCCCTAGAAACCAGAGGATCTGCAGGTTGCATTGCCCCCTTTCCCCTTGAGGAAAAACTGTAAGTATAAACTCATTGCACTTTCTGTTCCAGAGTTTTTCCTCTTTTTTCCCTCCAAGAGGGTGGCATGTAACACATGACCTTTGAACAATCTCTCTGTTGGCATTCACACCAGTAAATGTAGATAAGCAAGGAGGAGACAGGATGCCATGAGGATCAAATCATTACAGTTTGGCATACTACATATGAAGTAGCTGCCACAGGGGCATACAACTCTGCACTTCTGTTATTCATGACAAAAGAGGAAGCCAGGTATAGTACAAACAGTAATTAACCTCTGACAGGGATGCTCCTGGTTCTAACAGAATTGGTCACTGGAAACCAAAGTTCTGTACACAAACCAAATGACACTATACAGCTACGGTTCAAGCTCTCCTAGACAGAGTACTGCAAAACTTTATGGAGGGGATGAGATAGGCAAGAGAGAGAGAGAAAATACTTACTACGATAGGTTGTCGGAAGTACTCATCCACTGCTGCACTGCGGAGACTGGATAGATTGACCCCATAAAAACACTGCTGGTACCTACAGACAGTAATGTGTAGTAAAATATTTAGTGGAAGAAGTCTCTTGGGGCTTTCACACCCAGAGGATCCATGCACAATTGTGTCTCCAAACTGATTGTGAAGTGTGGCTGAACCCTTAAACCCCTTCCTAGAATTTGTGGAGAGCTCAAATCATCTCTGTCCCCACCCCACTCTTCAGCCCCCCACTCCACATATGCCCGTTACAGGTTATTTCCTGGCATCAGTGAAATCCACTGCTGGTTAGACTATCTTGTGCATTCTTCCAGGCTGAGGAATCTGATGCCATCAGCTGAACTCGCAAGAGACCTCTCTGCATCAGGAAAGGGCTCCCACACTTCACCTCTTACTGGCATGGCACAGAATCCACAGACCAAGGGAGTGGGAACTAAGGTGGCTTTAAGCTACCTTTGTGCACTCCCAATCCTGGGCTGCTCTAGGAACTGGAGAGGCTTCTGGAACAACCGAAAACTGCCCCGAGGGCATATGCTAAGTTATGGCAGCCTCCCTAGGCTGCCTTGTTGGCTGCAGTGCTGACCAAAAACCCTACAGCAATGCAGGGTGCAGTCCCACCCTGACACACCCCTGCAGCCCTCACCATGCCCCCTAAGCTTTCAAGGGTATCCTCTGAAGACAGCTTATGGCTGTCTCCACAGTGCCTGTGCTGAGTGGAATTGTCATATAAAAGGCTTTTAGGGCCCCGACACATGGCTCTGGCCCTTTTACCAGGCATAAAGGGGTAAATGGGTGTGAGGATCTCACCCTAAGTGAATAGGAATTTTTTTAAACAATAGAGACAAGTTACATGCGCAGCTGATCCAACTGTGCCAAGCCCTCACTGACAGCAAATCCAGGCCCCCTGTAAAACTCCTTTGAAATCAAAAATATCTGCCTCCAACAACTACCCAGAGTCTGAGGTTTGACCCACTTATCAATCCACTGGAGCACTGAAAAAGGCTAGAGACACTCATTAAAGCCCAGGAAGATTCAGCAATTCTCTGGCAATATAAACATAAAGATGTCTGCAACCGAGGCAAATTTCTGGTGATGAAATCATCATCCAGATGCAAAATAAAGGTCTCAAGTCTACTGCAGTCTCTGAAAACACCTTAGGAGAATGCTTAAAACCTCAAATTCCTGTTTTAATTTGAAAGACATCATACAAATATTTTAAATATTGTCTGGATTTTTTTTTCAAAACACAATTTTAATGCTTAAAACAGGTTAAGAATGCCCCTTTCGGATGTATTAACTTTGCTTTAAAATATTAACTTAATTATTTAATCTGCTACAATGTGAACTGTGTCCTATGTCCCATTTCCAAGTGAAAGATGCTTAAAGTGAGTACTGTACTTCTCTTCTTAATGGTAAGCGTAGCAGAAGAGATCATCTAATACCACCAGTGCCAGGAGATCTTCTACCCCTTTTCAGCATGATTACTGATGCACAACTAGAGAACCTCTTATCTATTATGGCAGAAAGATCAGTTAATCAATTGAAAGCTCCCCCATTCATATGGAGGGAGCATAAGAATTTCTGTGTATCTCAGTGGTTGGTAATAAACACTGGCCCACTCTTCCTTAAAGTTAAGTCTGTGCAGTATTATTCAATGGAACGTCCATTCAATGAAATGAATTATCTGGAGATACTAGAGAAGAAAGTCTGCCTCTCATTTAAGCTGGGGGCAGTCACAAAGTATGCCAAAGGCAAAGAACAGACTGTTTTAACCACCTGCAGTATATTTATGCTTCGTACCTATCTTCAGAAGGCTTCTTACAACAGAAAGAGTGATCTCCTCTTGTAAGATACGTTGCAAACAATCACCCTTTCCAGAAATGTGCCATCCTTGACTTTGACCCAACACAAGTTAATAAATCTGTGTTTGCGTTAACTATTTCATCCTTCTTTCCCTCCATTAATAAACAAATTATGCAAACTCCTAGTAACTAGTGATATGACATGCACCAGGATTCTGTGATCAGGTTTTTTGCACCATTTCACAGACCTGATGTTTTCACAAGAGCCAACTCAAACTGCAGTTCCAGCCATTTCATTTACTCTTTTGTTGCTTACAGCAAATGGGACAAAAAATGTGTAAGATCTGCAGCAAAACCCTCTTCAGACACGATTAGCTATATAGGAAGGATTATTAAACATACAGCAAGCAGATTTTCTAAAAAACAAACCAGGGAGTTGAGTGAAAAGGGAATTTGGAGGCATGGAATTTTCTGCTTATACAGGCACTGGCTAGCACTAAACAGCACAAGCTGGCACAACTTAAATGACTAAAAAAGAGCAGATACACAGCCTAAATTTGCTGGGGACCCTGTGCCCAGCTCTAGGACTGTACTGGATATATCAGTATATCTTAGTACAAAGAGAAGACACCAGGGGATAAGTGAAGCAGTGGTAAAAACATTGCACTTTCACCTCTAGAGACCTGGGTTTCAACTTTTGGTTCAAGGTTCAAGTGAAGTTAATTTGTTTGTCTTTCCACTTAAACACCTGGTCCTGCAAAGTGCTCAGACACTCCAGGAGTTGCTAGATACCTTGCATAATCAATCCCCGCTGGACACCCATCCACACTGAAAGACCGCTGCATGATTTAGGATAACTTAGGATATGAACAGTTGTGCTCTGGAAACTACCAGGGCTGGAAAAACTCCAATGTTGCAGGTGCATTGGATTATCCATGTAAGCTCATGTAAAGTATGTAAGAGTTTATCCAGTGTTGTTAGCCCAACATTTACATGGCAAATTTGTTCAAGATTTGTTCAAGAAAAGGAATGAGCTGTTGAAACATTGAGGAAAGGATCCCGTTACAAAGACTGTAAGCTCTTCGGGACAGAGACTCTTAGTTTATTTTTGTACAGCTTCCAGCACATTGAGGTTCTAATCCTGACCTGGCACTACTGAAATACAAATAATAAATAAACAAATAACAATGATCATGATGGGGAAGTGAATTAAGTTCCCAGATCCAGTTATCTGTGAAGGACTTCCAGACCTGAACGATTAGGATCTTTCACTTCTATCATTCTCTTAGCAACCCTGTAGTGACTGGTTCTGAGTATTCACCTGAATAATTGTATCAGTGTGCAATATTATAGGACACAATGTATGTATTACATCTAGACGTCATTTTGCAGGTCTGGATATTTATGTTAAGAAACTGGATGTAGATAACGTCACCAGAACATCAGCAGTTAAGAGCTTGTGCCATTAATTAATGGCAGGGACAAGCAGATTTTTTTTTGCCATTAATACAGATACTATATACATACTGTATATGTAAAGACAGATATAGACAGAATATTTATGTGTACATCACACCATTTGTATTCCCCACTTGTAAGCTGTCAAATAGAGGTCTTACATTCCCTAATGATGGAGATGAAGCATCACAAGCAACCTTAAAGTGAAATGCTTGGATACTGCCAATAACATCTAGTTCTGCAGAGCCCTGTGAAAAAGCGGATACGTTTCTGCTTCAGACTGCTAATTCAGCATCTATTCCCCTCACTAAGCAATAACAACCCCTATTCATCAATCCCTGAGTTTCTACTATGGCTTCCCAAGGAAGCTGGCACATGGAACAAAAACCAAAATATTGGGCCCCATTCCACCCAATCTGTAGTTTATTATAATTATTTTGTATTCTTGAGAACAATCAAAAAGAGCAGAAGCTAAATATTAAGTGGGGAGGAATTGAAATGATAGATAGGGTTTGAAAACATTTTTTGATGAGATAAGTTTGAGTAATAAAGGTAACAGTGTTGATGTAATATACTTCAACTTCTCTAAAACATTTGACTTGGTACCACATGAAATTTTTGAATAAAAAAATAGAATGACACAAAATGAACATGGCACACATTACATGGACTAAAAAACTGGCTAATAAATAGGTCTCAACTGTAAATGAGGAATTCTTCATCAAACAGGTATATTTCTAGTGGGTCCTATCCTATTTAACATTTTTATCAATGACTAGGAAGAAAACATAAAATCATTACTGATAAAGTTTGCAGATGACACAAAAATTGGGTGAGTGATAAATACTGAAGAGGACAGGTCACCGATATAGAGCAATCTGGGGCCCAAGCAAACAAGATGCATTTTAATACAGCTAAATATAAACATATACATCTAGGAACAAAAAATGTAGGCTATACTTGCATGATAGGGGACTCTATCTTGGGAAGCAGTTACCCTGAAAAAGATTTGGAGGTTATGGTGGATAATCAGCTGAATGTAAGTTCCCAGTGCGATACTGCAGCCAAAAAAAAGGAAATGCAATCCATGAGTGCATAAACCATAGAATCTCGAGTAGGAAGAGAGATGCTATTTTAACTCTGTATTTGGCACTGGTATGACTGCTGTTGGAATATTATGGCCAATGCTGTTGCTCACTATTCAAGAAGGATGTTGATAAATTGGAGAGGGGTCAGAGAAGAGCAATGAAAATGATTAAAGGATTAGAAAACATGCTTTTAGTGAAAGACTGAAGAGCTCAATCTCTTTATCTTAGCAAAGAGACAGATAAAGGTTGACTTGATCAGAGTCTATAAATTCCTACATGGGGAACAATTATTTGATAATGGTCTCTTCAGTCTAGTAGACAACGGTATAACAAGATCCAGTGGCTGGAAGCTGAAGCTAGACAAAATTCAGATGGGAAATAAGGCCTAATTTTTTCTAACAGTGAGGGTAATTAACTACTGGAACAATTTATCAAGGGTCAGGGTGGAGTCTCCAAAACTGACAATTTTTAAAACAAGAATTTTTTTAAAAAAGAGATCCTATAGTTCAAAAGGAATCATTCTGGCGGAGTTCTGTAGCCTGTGCCATACAGGATGGTCGCTTTGGAATCTATGAAAAGCACACCTGAAGTTGTTGCTCTTTCTTCTAGACTCTAGATAAATGACAACAGTTACAATTTTCTCACATATAAAATTACAAGCTAGACCCTGCTCTGAGTTACACTGATGCAAGTCTGTAGCACTTCTAGATTTAAACCAATGTAACTGAGGGCAGAGTCTGGCCCTACATTTTCAACTAAAATACAGTGTTTTGGACAAGGAGAATTAGGCTGCTACATTGAAGAGAAACACTGACAAGCAACACTGTTGTCTCTAAAGCAGGTGGACAGTTTTCATATAAGCATAAAAGTTGCCATACCAGATCAGACAGCTGGTCCACCTAACCCACTATCCTGTCTCTGACACTGGCCACTACCACATGGTACATTATAAAAATGTCTTATAGAATTTTAACAGACACCAAGATAATATAAATAGAGAACAATAGTCTCTCCATAGGTTTTTTGAACCATCCTATGGAGTTTCAAAGAACTATATGCCTATTATGGAATTCTACAGGATGGCCTGACAAACCTAAAGAAAGGATAAAGGCAACATTCTCAGGTGGTGTAAATCAGCAGGCGATGACTCATCAGGAGAGGATCTGGTCCAAAAGTCTCTATTAAATTTTACATGATTTCAGAGCAATTTCTATACAACCCTATTGGTTTCATCCCTATTAAACTGTATACCACCTTTCCATAAAGGATACTTCAGAGGAAGGTGGAAGAAATCCCCTAATCGATAATTATGTAATGACGTATCCATAGGGAAAGTTTATTCCTAAATCCAGGTGATTAGTAAACTGATTGATTTAAAACAAATGACTTAACCTTTAGAACTCCTATCACTTTCTCTTTCACAAACCTAAGGAATGGTTGTAAGTGGGGAATATATCTGTGGTCTCCAAAAGAGGAGACTAATTATTAATCTTCATAGTTCCACAGCATGTCTTTATCCAAGGATTCAAAAACTTCGTTAACAAGTCTATTTACCACCACATTAGGTATGTGAGCAACAGGTAGACTTCTTTGCCCATTGCTGAAATGGAGCCACCTCTCATGTAGAACACAGCAGCTGTTTAATAGTGCACCCCAACATTAACAACAATTTAGGGCAAGAAGTAAAGACCGTTGTTTCTAGCTGAAGCTACAGGAGGAATTTAGGTAGACAGAATGTAATTACTGACTTAGAATTTGACCAGGATATGGAAGTCAATACCTTGTCTCTATGAAAAACGCCACTGGATCTTTGACATCTGTGTATGGTCAGGAGTCTGATTTGTTTAACACCCCTCAAGCACCATCCTGGGGCATTGGTTTATTACTTACACAGAAATGCACCTACTAACTATGGATTCATAAACATCTTTTTCTGCAGCACCTGAGAGCCCAGTGGACGTGGTTTCCCATCCTAGCTCTGACACAGCCAGAGCTGATAGGCTCACACAGCATAGCTGCGGATCAAGTTAAAGGAAGTGAGCATGGAAAATTAGAAGGATTTTCTGCCATGTGCTTTGCTTCATTTTATTCAGATTACAAGAATGAGTTTCATTTTAAAATCTTTACTGAGTCTCCAAGCAAAATTTTTTTTAAAAAAAACATAACAATCATTACCAAAAATTGGCTCTGGAGTAGTGTTCCATGTAGAGCTGCTCATCGGAAAAAGGAGCCAAATGAATGTCACTAAATGTTGGAAACATCATTCCTAGTAAACAAAAGATAATATATAGTAGCAAAATTCAAATGTCTGGTTAGCCCTGTGGAAACATGTACAGAAAATACCAGCAAGCAATAATTGCTTTGCACCTTGAACAGACTAACATTGATTCCCATTACAGGTATATGTAGTTTCTTGAAATGCAGTTATAGGTTAAAGCAATCAATAACAAAAATATCCACTTATGACGTGGGTCAGGATATTTCAGAAGCCTGCCAAGAATGATAAAGCATTATAAGTTTTATGTCACTATATTAGACATTTAAATCATTTTCTCTTTCTTTAAAGTATGTAAAATGTTAGATGTTACTCTAAAACACCTTTTCACCATTTCCACAATTGGAGAAATATGCTTATTTAGAGCTGACCATATACACAACTCTTTCCACAGATATTATCACAGAAGATATGTCAACAGACTCAATCATAAATCAAACTGCAGAGTACCAACTAGGTAATCCTCAAGGGGTCTAGCGTTAGCAGCTTGACATAATAATTACATGGGAACTTGTACCCAGATATCTCAAAAACGCTTTACAAAGCATTAATAAAATAAAGCTCAAAGTTAAGTACTATATCAATTTTACAGATGGTGAAACTGAGGCATATAGAAGTTTACATACCTCACACAAGTTATTGACAGAGCCGGGAAAAGGATCCAAGTGTCCTGACTTCTATATTAATTAGGGACTGAATCCAATGGCCACTGAAGTCAATGGGAATTCTACTGATTTCAGAGGACAGTGGATTAGACTGCTTGATAAGACTTCAAAAATAGTATTAAAGAAATATTTTGCACACTGTTGTTTGTGCATCAATGGGGAGCAGGGGCCACAGAGCAGTCGTTTTTGGACTGGAACATGTTTCTTCAAACATCTGTTTTAACTGGTGCAAAATGTGGTGCACAAATGAAAGAACAAATGGCTTTCTTTTTGCAAATACAACAACATGTAGCAAGAGACCACAGGAATTTCAAAAAGAATCACACATCCACTCAGTAAATACACGTTTCTTTTAAGACCTGCTGCTTAGAGAATACTAATACTTCTGCAGAGTAAAACCTGGGATGGGGATTAAAGGTTTTTAAAATTGCTTATGAGACCATGCTGCTTCAGCTTCTGCTACTACACACTTGGCACTTACACAGCATTTTACATTTTCAATGTGCTCTATAAACAATGATTAATTCTGGAGAAACAAGATGGGTGAGGTAATATCTTTTATTGGACCAACTTCTGTTGGTGAAAGAGACAAGCTTTAGAGTTGCACAGAACTCTTCAAATCGGAGATCGATGCAGCTTGAAAGCTTGTCTCATCAATAAAAGATATTATTTCACCCATCTGGTCTCTTTAATACACACAGCTACAACAACACAGCAAATAATAGCTAATTCTAGCTACCATTCATGTGTGAGGTAGATATAAATAAGTCTCATTTACATTCTACAGATGGGGAAACAGATACAGATAAATTAAGGTCTACGTGCTCAAGTGTCCATTAATTTTTGATTCCTTTAGTTTTTAAGTGACCAACTTCCATTTCAAAGGGCCCAATTTTCAGAAGTGCTAAGCACCCACAACTCTGACTGAAGATAATAGTACCTGCCAGTCATCAACACTTCTAAAATATCAGGCTCTACCGCATTGGTTCCCAAACTCGGGGGTGGGGCGTGAAGAAATTCCAAGGGGGGTGCGAGGCTGCTCGGCCCTTGAGCTCCTGGCTGGGGAGGCTAGACCCCGGCCTCTCCCGTCTTGTCCACCCTCCCCCACAGTGACGCTGCTGTGCGGGCAGCACAGCTTGCACCCGCCCACCTCCCAGGATTTCCAACAAGCCAGTCCTGCCGCTCTGAGCAGCCTGGTGAGGAGGTGGGGAGCAGGGGGAGGGGGAGTTGGATAAGGGGCAGGAGGTCCCGGGGGAGCGGTCAGGAGACAGGGAGCAGGGGGAGTTGAATAGGGAGTGGGGTCCTGGGGGGTGGTGGTTAGGGGACAAGGATCAGAGGGGGTTGGATGATGGTAAAGGAGAGGTGGGGGGCATGAGGGTTTCTCTGAAATTAAAAGGGGGGCGTGATGCCGAGAAGTTTGGGAACCACTGCTCTACCATATGTCTACATTCCAATGAAAGCCCCTTCCAGCTGTACACAATTCTATCTGACTCAGGACTGGGCCCAGGGCTCAGAACCCTGCAGTGTGGAGGGTCTGACTTGGTCCAAACTCCATCTATTGCAGTATCGATGCAGATCAGGCCCGGCCCCCCAGACTCTGGTCCTGTGAGTCTGAAAACTTCTCTCACAGTCCCGTAGGATGGTCTTCTTAATCAACACACAGGAAAGGGAAGCCACCCCTTGGTTCAAGTACAGCGGCTCCACATTTAATACTTCCATTTTATTCTGTCTGCTGAGCTGCAAGCATAGTGAATCTTCTCCGTCATTTGTGATGGCCACCGACATGAAGAAGTCTTTTGCCAATCATGTTGCTAGCTGGTCAAGGAAGCGCAGCCAGATTTTGGTTAATCTCTGGTGCGAGGCAAGCAAACAGTGACTTTAGCAAGAGTTCCAGGAATGACAACACATACCAAGAAATATGAAAGAAGTTTGCAGCATTGGGGATTCACTGGACCAGTGCAGGGAGCAGATTAAGCAGCACAAGAACGATGGGAATTCGCCGTCATCCTACCCCTTTTTGAAAGAGTGTGACCGGGTGCTGGATACTGTGCTGAGCACTGAGCCACCAGCGCTTCACAGCAGCCTGGTCAGCCAGGTCAGTGACCTTCTCATCCCTAAATCCACTCTAGGACTGGAGGGGAGCCAGCAAGTGCCAGTTGAGGCTGACAAAGTGACTCTTGTGCTCAAACTGGTCCCCAAGGAGGCTTTGCTGCCTGCATAGCGGCAGCACATTTGGGTCCCTACTCAGAGGAGCTTTCTGATGTCCCCATAGAGAAAGACCCAGCTGCGGAGCTAGCAGCAGAAACACAAGGGGCAGAAGGAACCCCTCAACCTGGTAAGTTTCTAGCACCATGTTTGTTGTTATTAATATAGGGGTTGGAAGGATTTCTGGTTTATGACCCAATGAAAAATTTATTACAAGGCACGGGCAGCAGCACATATCTGCTAATGGCGGACTGCATGGCAGTACATTGGCATCTCCCCCTCGCCCCCCAAACCACCAGGTGGAATTCAAAAGGGAGGCTGAGAAGTGCAACCAATAGCGAAACAAGCATTTGAAATTAACTTTTTATTGGAAACTTGTGCATTCTTACAGAGATGTGCTAGGGTGTTACAAGTAAGGGACTTTATATTGCCTTTCTCTTTCAGAATGCCATGCCGTACAAATCATGGCATTGCACAGCGTTAAGAGCCCCCTGTAAAAGAGAAACGGTTGGGTGGCCAGGGTTTTTATGCGGTCCAGAAGTGTGCTGAGGGGAGGGGGTTGGCTGTTTAGTTCTGAGAGAGTTCCTGTGCATTTGCATGTAGTTGAGGGTAGATGTGCTCAGAGCAGCTTGCATCAGCAGTCATGGGGAGGCAGTAATTCGTTTGGATGCGAATGCAGTTTCCTGTTAATTCACTCAGAAATTCTGATCTAGTCCTGGGCACTGACAGCCGCAAACTTTTCCTATAAGAGAAACTCTAGACAGGTAGTCAAATTTCAGTGAAGAGCATATTGTCCCGGCCCTCTTCTGTAAGTCGCCAGCCCACTTCACTCATAGATGTGCAGCTCCGTCGCCATAAGTCTGAAAAATCTCTGTGGCATTATGGCATACTTCTCCACCCCATCCCAAGGGCCAAACAGGTCTGCCATTTTTAAACAGAAAACAATTATAAATAGTAACTCACCATTGTTTGCGCAGTCTTTTCACTGTGATTAACTGAATTGTGTCCACTGAGCTTCTGGGATACTTTTTCAAAGTATCATTTTTTGGCCTTGGAGATTCCACAAGGCGCTTTTGCCTACTGAACCTGTTGTGAAGCACTGAAACAATAGCGCACTGTTTGAGGTCTGCTTTTTGGCCCTTCAACCTCTGCTGGTCCTTCCACCTCAGCAATATGGGCCCACTGCAGCAGATCCTTGGGATGTAGAACTGTAACAGCCCAGTCCAAATAGAAGTGTTTCCGTGATGAACTTAAAATGGACATTCTGGACACTGCCAACAAGCGGGTGCAGTTCCAGAGTAAGCAGAAAGGCACAGGCAGGCTGCCGAGCCAAAGGACAGTATTTCAGCGCGCAAGGAGAGGCTTGCAACACAGTTTCTGTAGCAGGAACATGGGCTGAGGGCGATGACAGAGGCCAGCAGAAAGACCTGTTTGAGAGGTTGCTTATGCTTGGGGCTGCCAGAGTACAGGCTCCTGCTGCACCCACACCATGTCCTGGGTCCCCTCCTTGGAACCCCATGCTGTAGACCAGGAACACGTTGAACAATTCCATCGTTGGATGCAGGGTTCCATGTAACTGGGACTTAAAAGAAGCTGAACAGAGCAAATCTACTACATGCAGTCCTACATCCCCAGGCAGGGTCCCTACCCCCTGCAGGCTTCCACACTTGTGCAGACGCCCACACCTGGAAACGCCTCCACCCTCTGCAGCAGCACCAAGCACGTGCTAAATGTGGAAGGAAGGGAAAAGAGAACAGGGTGCCGGGGGGTGGGGGTGGGGTTATTTGTTAGCAATGTTTTACTGTTTAATGTGTGCTTTATGCACTGTGTTTTATTAATGGTTTTGGTGTTGGTTTATTACTGGTGTTTTGGTGTGTGAATGACAGCTGGCCTGCCTGGCACTGTTTTTTTTTTTCTCTCATTCATGTTCAAAAGTAAAGGCTTTTCTTTTATTAAGACATTTCATTACCATTATTGCATCACATCATATAAGGTGTATTTCACATAATAAAGATAAACACATGATAAAGGACAACTGGTAAGTTATACCCAAATGCTATTTCTCAAAACATTTATCTACATCAAGCCATACTGTATATCTACAGTTCTTGCCACATAACTGCTTATGAAATGTCATTCACAAGTACAATCCATGGCAATCAATCCCTGCTCCCACAGTCCCATTTTGTTACATGATGTGGCTGTACCTCATTTACTGTAACTATTGTACGAGCACATTTATAAAAATACACTACTCTCCCATGGAAATCCATAATGTGGGAGCATAGAGCATCCCTGATTTGTGTTCCCTGGGCACATCCTGCCCTAGATGGGATAGGTGCGCTTTCCGATCCATTACTGTCATAGCTCCATTCAGAGGCAAATGGCTCACCTTTGGCTTCAAAAAGGCTGTGAAAAGCACTGCAAGCCACAGTGATGCAGACAGGACTGATGACACTGGAATCCACACAGGTCTGCAAACAGCACCAGCAGCATTTCAATTGCCAAACACACATTCAATCACCAGTCTGCAGCTGCTTAGAGCATAAATAAACCTTCTTTTGCCAGGGCCTCTGAGATCAAAATATGGTTTCATAAGCCAATGCAAAAAGGGGTGCAGAGGGTCCCCCAGAATAACAGTGGGGACAGTAACTCTATTTATGACAATGCCGTTTGGTAGCAAGAGTGTCCCAGTCTATGCATGAATGTAGACTCCCACTTGTCAGAAAAACCTAGCGCGATGAACGTTTCCAGTGCAGCCCATGTTGGTGTCCATAAGTTGGCCTCTGTGGTCCACAGAGGCCTGCATGACAATGGAGTGGTACACTTTGTGGTTTACATACATGTGCTTCTTGAGGAGGGCAAACTGTGTGCATGAGTCCCATCAATGGCCCTACTCCAGTCTGAAAATCCCATTCTGGAAAGCCAGCAATTATTTCAGGAATATTGTTTTATGCCCACCACTTTTGGGTAAATCACATGCCTGATTGCCTCAGAAACTTCCGCCACCATCTTACCTACAGTTGACTTTCCAATGCCAAATTGGTTAGCAAGAGACCTGTAGCAGTACGGTGAATCAGCTTACAGACGGCTATAACAACCTGCTTCTAGACCAGGGGTGGCCAACCCGAGCCTGAGAAGGAGCCAGAATTTACCAGTGTACATTGCCGAAGACCCACAGTAATATGTCAGCAGCCCACCATCAGCTCTTTTCCATCTCCTCACGCTCCCAGCACCTTCCGTCCATTGGCGGCCCTGCCAATCAGTGCCTCCCCCTCTCTCCCCACACCTCCTGATCCGCTGTTTCGTGGCATGCAAGAGGCTCGGGGGGGGGAGAGGGAGGAGTGAGGGCACGACAGGCTTGGAGAGGGGGCGGGAAGGGGCAGAGTGGGGGCAGGGCCTGTGGCAGAGCCAGGGGTTGAGCAATAAGCCCCACCCCGGCACATTGGAAAGTTGGCACCTGTAGCTCCAGCCCCAGGAGTCGATGATGATACAAGGAGCCGCATATTAACTTCTGAAGAGCCGCATGTGGCTCCGGAGCCACAGGTTGGCCACCCCTGTTCTAGACCAATGTGGACATCCTCATTTGTGTTTCCTAACACTGGAGGGCCAGGGCAAGCTGCTCACAAAGCTCCAGAAATGTAGCTTTCTTCATGCGAAAGTTTTGGGCACACCGTTGGTCACCTGAGGTCTTCACCACAATGTGGTCCAACCAATCTGTGCTTGTGGCCCTGCTCCAGAAGTACCTGTCTATGTATGGGGTATCAGCGGCTATACTGAGAGTCGCAAGCAGCATCAGCCAGTTTGAGTCTTCCATGTTTCCATGTGCATATCCTCCTCCTCCTCCTGTCAGGTGCCTTCTGTAGGTCAGAAAACGATGTCGGAATGTCCATCAGCATCTCATGGATGCTCTGTTTGCTGAAACATGAGTGAAAGCACAAACAAGAGGAGTACTTCAAATGTGACTCCTCCATGTTGCTGGCTCCAGTTGCTGGGAGTGTGCAAATCCAAAAGATAGCACAGCGGATTATGTTGGGAACTTAGCAGGTTGCAACAACTTCCTGTAATGTGTAGGGTGGATAGTCAAGTTTTCCCACACTGTACCATCAACTGAGGGCTAGAGTGCTGGGGAGGGTGCTAGGAACCCCGGGACATGGTTTGGAGCCTGGGTCCAGAAACTGTAAACCTAGGGTCACCAATGAGTGTGGACACTCAAGCCTTGGGCTTGCAAGCCTAAGGTCTGTGGGGTCAAATCCACTAACCCTGAGCTTACATTGCAGTCTATACATGCCCTAAGAGTTTGTAGATAGGTACCCAAAATCAGAGGCATTAAAGTTAATGGACACTTTTGAAAACATCAGCCTAAGTGACGTTTGTAAGGCCACAGACCAAGTCAGTGCCAGAACCAGGATTAACACTCAGTAGTTCCCAGTTCCTAATCCTGTGCTCAGCCTATTAGCCCACATTCCCCTAACTAGTTTAATATGCTAAAAACATCCTGTTTTTCACACTGGTGTCACGAGAGAAAGTCTTTCTTTTTAACAAAACCCATGTTAGTGATCTTTTAGTTTGTTTTCAGGAATTCACCTAGTGAAATATAACTTATGGCAACTGCAGGTTCAGACTTCCCTTCAGGGAAATTTCTCAGGAGGCCCCTGGACTTAGAAGCCTCCTTCAAAACTTCTCCAACCAGTAACAGATTGAAACACAGATCCCATTGAACTGACCTCTGGATCGCAGTTGTTTCTGGCTGGATTGGACACATCACTGGAAAAGAGTGGGGGTACCAAGAGGCCTTGGAATTAGGAATTTGGGTGGGGTCTGATTAGAGCTGGTGAAAACATTTCAAATTTCACATTTTTTTTCAAAGAAAAAAAAAGACATTTTTCATGACGTTTCCCATTCTTTGTCCAACTCTAGGTCTTTCTCTTCCCTCTCTTGCCTTGCATTTTAGTTTAGCTTGCCACCATGTTTTGCATTATAAACTTTGAACTGAGAGGCAACCCATAATGCATATGGTGGCACATTAAATTCAATGATACAAGAGGCAGCCAAGGGCAACACATCCAGCACATACAGGTTAAGTGCTGAAATAGCTGGTCTCACTGGCAAATCACAATATGAAATAGTAACAGTGGTGCTTCCAACATGCTCAAATGAAGGGAGAAAACTTAAGTCTCATTTCCTTAGAGCCTACAGGAGGTGATGAAACACGACACCAACCAGTGCTGTCCAGAGCCACCATTTGGAGGTCCTTCTTGTCTCCTTTCTCTGAAAACTCTCATTTCCCCCAATCCATCACTGGGCTGGCATACTCACCGTTTGACTTCAACCATTTTTTGGAATGGAGGTAACTTTCCAGCATCCTCTCATTGAACAGCATGTAACCCATAGGTTCAGAAATAACCACATCGACGTTCTCTGGTAAAGAGATTTCCTCAATTTTACCTGATAAAACCATGATCTTATCAGAGAGGTTGTTACTTCTCACTAGTATCTGGAAAGAGTAAAAGGGGGGAAAAAAAAACAAGCATGTTAGCTTCTTTGGTTATGCATAGTTCTACCAGAAGTCTCTGGGTAATGTGAAACCCTCTGAATCGTTCAGTATCTAGTAACTTTATCAGCCTTTGAAAAGCCTGCACTGTAATTAAACCTTAAAAAATGGTACAGACTCATGCCTTACTACAAAGAGAGTTTCTAAATACTCTGATGAGAGCAAACTTATAGAAGTGTGCAGAATCAGCAAGTAGCAGTACAAGTTACATCATCTTTTAAGAAATAATTAGAATCAATATCTAGAAGAATACAACACACGTGCACACAGAGAAAGAGGGAAGTTAATATCCACTACAGAAGAACACACAGTAGAGATCTTTAAGATTCTTCAAAACAGTTCTAGAAAAGGCTATTCCTAACCGATCTACACACTCATAAATGCATGACTATTCTCAGGGAATGAATGTTCTCAGACACGGAGGAAAGTCTGAGGCATGATGTTTCTAAACAAAAACAAAACAAGGAATACCTTTTATAGAGCATGCACAATCCCTAGGTACCATGTGCAGAATCCTATGCAGGCTGAGAACCTCAGGGCAAACTTTTCTTAACTTTTTGATCGACATTTCTTTCATCTGAACAAGAGAAATTGACTCAGAATTTAGGTACTGGGTGGCAAGATGCTTGGGGAAGGAATAATCTCTCTAAAGTCACTCTGATTAGAAATGTATGTCATATTTATCTGTAATGTACCTTGGCACTCAGAGAACAAGTCTTCTTGTAGCGCCAAAATCTGTTTAGACAATGTTTAGAATTTGCCTATAGGATACAAATACATACTGTGTTATACATACTGATAACATTATCTCGGTGAACCAGTCTGAATGGGGAAAGGTTGTGCAAGGGGATGCTGTACCATGGAGCACGGCTCTGTGGGGGCACCTATTGCAACAGCACAGTGGGTGGAGATTCAGAATGGGACAGGGGCAAGCCAGGAGAAGCAACCATACAAATCCATTGGCCAAAAATACAGTTACAGACAGCACAGTGGGGCTGCAGCTGCCAGCAAAGCCTTGAGGCTGCACCAGAGATGGCATAGAGGCTGTATATCCTGTCCCTGGATTGAAAGACACCTTCACCCCAATCCTTGAAAACCCATTTCCTGCTTTGTGTATGGGGGGGACCATGATTTGAGTCTGTGCATCCTGCATTATAATGTAGACCACAGAAAAAAGGAGGAAGTTGGGGGAAAAATCTTCTACATGAAGCCACGTGGATTCCCAAGAAAAAAGCTGATTAGAAGAGACAAACCTCCCGATGTTTAAGTTTAGTTCAGGTGCTAGTGGAAGAGATCTTCAAACTTATTTCCACAATTCATTGTCAGAGAAAAGACTGTTCAGTGGCTGGAGTAAGCCACTAGCAATGAGTTGTTTGACCCTGAGCTATAATTAACAGGAACCAGGAACAGAAGACAGGGAAAGGCAGCGTGTATCCCCAGGAGTTAAAACAGATATTCATGTTAGAACTCACTTGGCAAACCCTACTGAGTTTGCCCCCATGAAAACAGCCTTTTATTGAACTTGATCCTACAGACAGACGTAGTTTTCTGAGTCTGGTTTCTGATATATGATTATGGGCACATATGGTATTGCCCTGGGTACATGTCTTGCTCCTCTTCAATTTTGTATTTGCTTGTAAACTTTTGGAACAGTGTTCATAGAGGCCATTAAGCTATTTTACCAGTCTTGTCCATTTTGTCAACAGTTCAATAGCAAGATTATTTAAAATGTGACTAGAATGTTCTAAGAAGGCAAGGTACAATTCTTCAGCATCATGTATTTTTTTTCCAAACCCAACACAAAGAACACATTATTGCTGATATCCAAGAAAATTAGTTTAATTAAAGCTCCTTAATTAATGAGTGAAGGGGTAATTTATTTAATCATATTTGTAACCAAAAGAAATCATTAAAGTGTTTTTTTTTTCACATGGAAGTCAAAGTAGCACACAATTTCTTCCAGGTAAGATAATGTTCTTGCTAAGGTAGTTATAAAAAATGTAATAAGTATCATCTTTCCTTTACATGGTTCTTTTCACTCTGAAGGATGCCAAAGCTCTTTATGAACTATATACTACATATGAATCCCTTTCACTCCTGACTCTGGGATGGAACACAGCAGATGTTTAACAGAGCAAACTGCACAACAGTTTAGGGCAGGAAGTGAAAACAAATACCATATCCAATCAAAACTACAGAGTGAATTGGGCTGGTAGGTAGAATGTAATAACCCAAACTAACATTTGTCCAATCCCACCCCCCACCAAAACTGAAATACACAGACCTATTATTGTGAATGCTGCTGCCTGATTCCCCTGCTTCTCCATCACAGCCTCAAATACTCAGGAATTGGTTCATATCTTGCCCAAAACACAGCACATCTGTAACAGCATGGTGTCCCCTAAAGCCAATATGCACTCAGCTGGAAGAGTGCCATCTAATGAATCATCATCTTCACTTCCTGCAAGACCCTGCATTTATTTGGAGGACTCTCACCCAAATCCTGTCCAGGACTAATCCTGCTTAGCCAGACAAATTTGAGAACACAACCTGTGGTAAGCTTATCTTCCTGAAAACACCATCCTAGCCACTATGGATGTAGAATCCCTCTACACCAACATTCCACATGAAGATGGACTACAAGCTGTCAGGAACAGCATCCCTGATAATGTCACGGCAAACCTGGTGGCTGAACTTGGTAACTTTGTCCTTACCCACAACTATTTCACATTGGGGACAACGTATACCTTCAAATCAGCAGCACTGCCATGGGTACTCGCATGGCCCCACAGTATGCCAACATTTTTATGGATGACATAGAACAACGCTTCCTCAGCTCTCGTCCCCTAATGCCCCTACTCTACTTGCGCTACACTGATGACATCTTCATCATCTGGACCCATGGAAAAGAAGCCCTTGAGGAATTCCACCATGATTTCAACAATTTCCATCCCACCATCAACCTCAGCCTGGACCAGTCCACACAAGAGATCCACTTCCTGGACACTACGGTGCTAATAAGCGATGGTCACATAAACACCAACAAGAAAAGGAGTACTTGTGGCACCTTAGAGACTAACCAATTTATTTGAGCATGAGCTTTCGTGAGCTACAGCTCACTTCATCAGATGTTTACCGTGGAAACTGCAGCAGACTTTATATACACACAGAGAATATGAAACAATACCTCCTCCCACCCCACTGTCCTGCTGGTAATAGCTTATCTAAAGTGATCAACAGGTGGGCCATTTCCAGCACAAATCCAGGTTTTCTCACCCTCCACCCCCCACACAAATTCACTCTCCTGCTGGTGCTAGCCCATCCAAAGTGACAACTCTTTACATAACCAAGTAGGGCTATTTCCTGCATAGATCAAGGTTTTCTCACATCCCCCCCACCCCCATACACACACAAACTCACTCTCCTGCTGGTAATAGCTCATCTAAACTGACCACTCTCCAAGTTTAAATCCAAGTTAAACCAGAACATCTGGGGGGGGGGGTAGGAAAAAACAAGAAGAAACAGGCTACCTTGCATAATGACTTAGCCACTCCCAGTCTCTATTTAAGCCTAAATTAATAGTATCCAATTTGCAAATGAATTCCAATTCAGCAGTTTCTCGCTGGAGTCTGGATTTGAAGTTTTTTTGTTTTAAGATAGCGACCTTCATGTCTGTGATTGCGTGACCAGAGAGATTGAAGTGTTCTCCGACTGGTTTATGAATGTTAGAATTCTTGACATCTGATTTGTGTCCATTTATTCTTTTACGTAGAGACTGTCCAGTTTGACCAATGTACATGGCAGAGGGGCATTGCTGGCACATGATGGCATATATCACATTGGTGGATGTGCAGGTGAACGAGCCTCTGATAGTGTGGCTGATGTTATTAGGCCCTGTGATGGTGTCCCCTGAATAGATATGTGGGCACAATTGGCAACGGGCTTTGTTGCAAGGATAAGTTCCTGGGTTAGTGGTTCTGTTGTGTGGTATGTGGTTGTTGGTGAGTATTTGCTTCAGGTTGCGGGGCTGTCTGTAGGCAAGGACTGGCCTGTCTCCCAAGACTTGTGAGAGTGTTGGGTCATCCTTTAGGATAGGTTGTAGATCCTTAATGCGGGTATCCATAGCAGGTTGTAGATCCTTAATGCGGGTATCCATAGCAGTGCCGCTGATCTGAAGGTATACATTGTCCCCAAATGTGAAATAGTTATGGGTAAGGACAAAGTCACAAAGTTCAGCCACCAGGTTAGCCGTGACATTATCGGGGATAGTGTTCTTGACAGCTTGTAGTCCATCTTTGTGTGGAATGTTGGTGTAGAGGGCTTCTACATCCATAGTAGCCAGGATGGTGTTATCAGGAAGATCACCGATGGATTGAAGTTTCCTCAGGAAGTCAGTGGTGTCTCGAAGGTAGCTGGGAGTGCTGGTAGCGTAGGGCCTGAGGAGGGAGTCTACATAGCCAGACAATCCTGCTGTCAGGGTGCCAATGCCTGAGACGATGGGGCGCCCAGGATTTCCAGGTTTATGGATCTTGGGTAGTAGATAGAATATCCCAGGTCGGGGTTCCAGGGGTGTGTCTGTGCGGATTTGATCTTGTGCTTTTTCAGGAAGTTTCTTGAGCAAATGCTGTAGTTGCTTTTGGTAACTCTCAGTGGGATCAGAGGGTAATGGCTTGTAGAAACTCGTGTTGGAGAGCTGCCGAGCAGCCTCTTGTTCATATTCCGACCTATTCATGATGACAACAGCACCTCCTTTGTCAGCCTTTTTGATTATGATGTCAGAGTTGTTTCTGAGGCTGTGGATGGCATTGCGTTCCGCATGGCTGAGGTTATGGGGCAAGTGATGCTGCTTTTCCACAATTTCAGCCCGTGCACGTCAGCTGAAGCACTCTATGTAGAAGTCCAGTCTGCTGTTTCGACCTTCAGGAGGAGTCCATCTAGAATCC